GTATACGTCTCATGGGGCCCACACTGAACACGACGCGGGGGGTCGAGTTTGATGCTATGGCAATTGCTTATTTGTTGTAACGTTGCTTCCAAATATTTCGTTTCTACCCAGTGAACAATATTGACAGAGTACTTAACTTTCCCAAAATTATAACTGACATCAACTCAAACACATTTCAAATACAATTTTCAGAGTAGATGTATTTATTTCATTGTGTCAAAAACTATTACTCCGTAAAATCAGTTCCAAAAAGTTGATGCTTGGATAAACTTGACTATGAAGTTTACATCATAGAATAAATTTTAATTAAATAAAGCACAACTACTAATTCATGTGTTGAACGTTTCTGCTATAATTTATTAATTTTCTTCTCTATTGTCGATCTAGAACGTACAGTTCGAATTATAAGAATATGAGTTTACAGATTATTTCCCTTTTCCATTTCCATTTCCGGGAGTGAAATCAGCACAGATATCTACCAATTCATCAGGATCGACGATTACGCCGCCCACAAGACCCTACAAGATTAAAATAGAAACACGACACAGTGTATATATTACATTCAATTACGAGCACAGTAAATTATATCTTAATAACTTCGATTGGTATAAGTGTTTACTCGTTGCGTGTCAATGTCAATATGTAATACATGAAATCGCAATATTATTGTCAATATAAATATGCACATTTGTTCATTTCAGTAGAGTTCGCTGATTTCGAGTACTATATGCGATCGCGACACTTTCCACAGCAGTTTTTGATATTATGACACAAACAAAACTTGACGAATGCATTATAAAAGTGCTGGAACGTTTAGACTACCATGATATTTCTTGCAAAGAATACCAGCAAGACACTATCGCAAACTACACAGAGGGGAGAGATGTGTTCATCAGCGTGCCGTGTTGACATTCGTCTTGTCAAAAAGAACAAGTGACCAGGATCTACGATTAACATTAATCCTTGATTTTGCCTAACATTTCTACTTATCTTTTTTTCTTTGGTGAATAACTGTTCAACGTATAAACGGTAACTGTTCAAATAGTGTTTTGCATCAGTGAAACAAATGCTAGCACCGTCGCCTATGAGAAACCACCAGCAAATGGAAATGGAAATAACCTAAATTTTACAAATTTAACTTTATCATCTTTCATCTACAATATTTGATAACTTGTAGGTGCAACGTAGACGAATAGTATGCATTTCTATAGAAAATGAAAAATTTGACATTTTTCCTGACTAATGTCAGGATTAACTATTACAAGCTTGATGAAAAAAATGATTGTTTTTGTTGATGAAATACAGTAAACTTATTGTAATATCAATATAATTAGCATGAACATTAGATCATTTGCAGCGGTATAAGCGACTCCAAAATATTCAGTCACAAACTATATGATAGATGTATATGAACTTACACGACCAGGGGGTCCGCCGCTGACTCCAAACCCTTCAGTGTGACTGCAGCATTGCAAAACAACTAGCATAACAACTACGACGGCGATGACGGCTCTGGCCTTCATATCTGTAATGAAATGATTATTGACTAATGAATGTATGTAGGAAAATTTCTTTAGTATATGAAGATATATTACCAAAAGTGACAAATTTTATGTCGGCAAATAGCTTCAATGTCTCTTTAGTTAATGAGTCCTTAATATATATCGTTTAGAGATTCTTCTAATACAGTATCGTGGCATCTCATAATTATCATAGAATATTGTAAGCCCATGGATCGAATTTCCTTAATCGCATTAGATTAAACTGACAATAATATTTTAAGGAATTTTGATATGTGTATAAAAGCAGCAAAACGAATATATCTGAGTAATATCTCACACGACAATCATGTATAGAACCCCACGAGATATATTCTATATACTTACTTGAACAGGTAAGCTGGCAGGCAGGCAGGCAAACAGTTATAGTGCTGATGAAAGTGTAGATGAGATGTCCAACACCTTAGTGGGTTTTTATATGCTTCTAACAGTCATTAAATTGCTAATCAATTACATCTGTTTAGTCATGCCTTCAACTTGCGGTTGTTGTCATATGCATAGCTATGTTAGCAGCAACTATTATACTTGGGGGTCAAAAATATGTGCATATTTTTACTATACGGCCATGGACATGAATAGATCATATAATAAAAATACATTTTATTTGAAGAAATAAATATATCATTTATCAAATAATAGTTGGTGTGATGCTTCATTCCGCAATATAAATAACGTATGTTAAAGACTGTGTGTTTTAGTTTCAGTTGCCTTTCTGTGATAGCGCCCTCGTGGTCCCAGATGTGATATAGCGCGAATGTATTCTCAATTGGTGGGTTGACATATCTTCTATATTAATGCATGTCCTTTGTGCATGTGCTCTTTCAGACTTTACTTTTGATATAGTATCATCGAGATTATCTTATAATTAACAGGAAAGTATGTTGAATGTTTGACGTCACGTCTTCATAGGCTCATAACTCATAGCATTGACATCAAGCAACATACATCAAAGGTACAAGTTATTGGTGCACAACCGAATATGAAGACGACCTATACATGCAATACATGATGAAGGGAGCTTATATATTATCGTCCATGTAAACCACAGGTAGGTAATTCCAATCATCCCAACAAGATCAAGAAGGAGGGATATATGCTAGATATGATAACATATCCAAAATTAAGTACACTCGCCAGAATGTTGTAGCCATGTTCAAATGGCACAGTGTGTACAGCTACAACATAATCTAGCTGAACCGATAAGGTCATATATATTAATTAGACCACTAACCACCACTAAGTCTCAGATCACCCAAAATGACATAGATGTAGTTTGCTTGCAAAAGATTGCCCCTTTCTTGCAATGATAACTACTCACGAGAGATACAAAAGCGAGGACAAGATGAAAAACCAGATGTGTCTAATATACAATATCAATGAATGAAAATCTCCAAATTGCAAGTGTGTAAATGTTGAGGTGGAAACAAACCACATATTGTAATCTTAACTATACCCCATAGACAAAAATGATTGATGACCACCCAGACAAACAAGTGATTGCAAAACTTGTGGCTAGAGTGCCACGCTCATCACCATGTGTGCCATCTCCACATTGTGCAACACAACCACCAACAAATAGACAGTGAAATATATCGCGGCATCCATGATTTCTCATGGTCACTAGGGATGTTCATAAACGATAGAATTTGCAACACATGCACTTATTCATCAACTAACACAAGCAAGGGGGTTTTGCTTGCAAAGGTAAACTGCGAAGTTGCCTTTTATCAGATCCCAGTTCGACCACCAGGATTGAAGCTACTTAGATGTTCTTAGACGCTTGACATGATACGATTAGGACAGTCAAAACATAGTCATTTGGTT